GCAGCCGTGACACATCCCACTTCGCTGAGCTCAGGGAGGGTGAACCCACCTGAGTAAGGGCTACGCTCAACTCCAGATTGTTGTGAAAGCATCTCTTCTTCCCCAGCTGTGTGCACTTTTGGGGGCTGTGAGCGTTGCCCCCTCTTCGTCCCACGGGCTGTTACTGCTGCTGCTGTCAAGTAAAGGTCCGTCTGTCTTGGCGTCGCCGCTGTGTCCTGCACACTGTCCATCCAAGTCTGTCCTTTCCCAAGTGCAGCTCCCGGGGTTGGTAGGCAGAGCTGAGCTGCCAGGTGGAAATCCTGGCCGTTGTCTTCTGCTGGGCACTAACTTTGTTCTCCAGCTCCAGAATTTCCTTCCAAAGTGCAAATACGAACAAATACACATGCGGGCGTGTGGCAGGGAACAACTTTCCTCTATCCAATACCTGAGCCCTGGGAGATGTCCTCCAGCCTCTCTGAATAAGTGGCATTTTGAGCTGGTGCTTCCGTGCCCCGATGCTGTTCCCCTGGGATTTGTGGTGGCCCTGCCACGGGCTCTTGGCGTCGCGCTGGCACGGGTGCAGGAGATGCCAGCGCTGGGTGGGTGAGTGGTGCTGATGCCCTCGGTCCCTGGCACAGGGGCACTGCAGCTGCATCTGAAGCCTTGCCACAGATGGAGAATTGTGCCCTGCTTGGGATAATAGATAGGAGAGTTTGGAGCTCTTGTGGAAACGGGAGAGAGATTAACTTGGAAATTAAATGTTGTTGCTCAGTGGCAAGCCCAGAGCCACCCGACTTTGCTGCTCATTCCTTGGGGAGCCCCACATGTGCCCCTGCCCGGGAGTGGGGAGGGTGCAGCCGGGTCTGGCCGGGGCAGATGCTGAGCAGGGGTCTGGCTCTGCCAGGTGATGGGGCGGTGGAGGGGAGTTGGGGCTTTCCAAAGGTACTGTTTGGTGCTAACCCCTCCCGGCCAGCCCCTCGGTGCTGGGCTCGGGGTACCCTCAGCGGGGAGCAGCCAGCAGGGAGCTGGCAATGACCTGCTCCTCCTGTGCAAAGGGCCCTGCTCCTGTTCCTGGAGCTGTGCTGGAGCCAGGGGTGTGTTTAGGGGCGATGAGACGCACACACACACACCCCCCACCTCCCCGAGACAAACTCATGGTGGCTCGTGTTATGCCTCAGATCCTAAAGTCTTACACGATCCTCCCGTTTAAGTGGCTGATCTTGTAAGGTGGCGGGGGCATCCCCTCTGCAACAGCACGTACTTTGTCGTGGGGACCATGGCACCGTCTCTCCCTCACACCCCAAAGGGATCCCCAACCTCTTCCACTGCCCGCGCTCCCCTCCCAGCCCTGCCAAATCCCCCTTCCTCCAGAGAGCTCTCCCCCTTGTGTTTACTGTTGTAAGAAACTTGTTAAAAAGATTGTTTTGTTTGTAATTATTCAGCCATTTGCCACAATATATATCTGTGAATAAGAAAGGGAAATGTTTTTTTATGATGGTGAGAAAATTGTATATATATTTTAGTTCATCGCAGATCAGTCAAAATTGCAATGGGATACGTTGGAAAATAATATGTAAATTCCTTGGGTTTTTTTCCTTTGCACTGCACTAACTGGGGTAGGGTGGAGGGGGTTTAAAGATAAAACTGTTTGTTTATGGAATAGTTTATAGCTGGGAATTTGAAAATAATTTGGAATAGCTTGTAATGCTGGAATAGAAACTTTAGCTGCTACTTAGAAACCCTTTTGCATGTGGTTTTTCCAGACCTTTTTAAGTTACAATACATCAAAGTAAATTCCAAAACGAAAAAAAAAAATAAAGTGTAATTTTGCTGATAGGTTTTTTTTTTCCAGCCATGGTTTTTACGGTGGCTTGGGCTCGTGTCAGACTTCTTGTCACTGAAGCCCCCTTGGCTGTGCTGTGGCCGGAGGGGTGGCTTGGCCAGCCCCGGGGAAACGCGTGCTCACGGGGACAGATCCTTTCTGATTCCTGATGTGAACTGTGTTTGTACCTTTCCAAAACTCAGAGCAGATCCTTCCTGCGGTGCCAGAGCTCTTTGCCGCTCACCCATCGAGTTCTTTCTTCTTTCTGGAGCAGCTGCATCTCGTGCAGTTGTCCCAGGCTCCTGCTGGGCGGTTTTCCTGGGGTTCCTCTCCCTGCCTGAGCTGAACTGCTGCAGGCTGAGAGAATGAACAGGGTTTTCCATGGCTTTTAGTCATTCCCGAGTATCATATTCCACAGTCCCACTCGGCCGTGCACACAGCACCGTTTTCCAGAGCAATAAAAGAAATCACACAGTTGCTTATAAAAATACCTGAGGCGTTGCTGGAGGTTTCACCCCAGAACAGGGACACGAGGTGCCACTGAGCTGCCACGTCATTTAATGAATAATACGATTTTTTTTTTTTGCTCTTGGAGTTGCCAGTGCTTGCTCTTTCTCACTTCAGCTTTCACAGGGTCAGCTGAAAGAGGCTGTAGCAACAAGCAGAGACGTTTTACTCGGAGAAGCAGGACATGAGCTGGGCACTAACTTTTGGATGCTGATTTGGAAAGATGTTGCTCAGCCCAGTATTTAGCCTTGGCTCAGGTGGTGACTCCTGCCTGGGATCAACCCTTTCCCTGTTGTTGCTGTTCACTCAAAGGGAAGCTCTCCAACATGCACCATGTAGGAAATAACCAATTTTTGGTACCTGGGTGCTCTCCTGCCGGTGATGAGCATCAGCCCAGCCCTGAGTGGGCCGGGTATTGTCATCAGATGCCCACGGTGCAGCTGGGCTGCAAAAATGCCACACTGGAGCCTGGAACCAACTGGCCCAGAGCAGGTAAATGCAAAAATGTACTTCCATTCAAGGCCCTGCCTCTGGGAACATCCCTGCCACCCCAGGGCTGGCTCCTCGGTGGCAGCCAGTGACATTTGACACTCGGAAGGTGGTTGGAGCCTCGGCCAGGTGGGTGCCTCGGCAGCCAGCTTTGCTCAGCTCCACTTCCAAACCTCCCCCCAGGGTTTGCACTGATGAGGGCTGCCATCTCAGGGATAAATGAGGCATTTATTCGTTGTGCCCAGCCATGGCCAGGCGCTGTAATCGGACCAGGAGCAGCCTTCCCAGGGGCTTTAACAGGAGAATAAATCCCAGCCGTGACCAGCACAGCTGGTTCCAGCCCTGCACAGGCCCCAGCCTGCCCCAGGAGGGGGGACAGACCAGACACAGGTTTTCTTATGTATTTTATTCATCTTTGTTTTTTCCCCCAGCAATAGCAGCTGCTGACATAATCTCCCACATTAGCTGGGTTCGCTAGGGCGCTGCCTCTGCTCTGAGCAAACACGGTGCGGGGGGTGATTGCATTTGCTGGCCGCCCTCTGCAAACAGCGAGTCCTGCTCCGTGCCGTGTCCCTGTGGCTGGGCATTGAGCACGCCCGGTGGTCTGGGGCCAACCAGTGGGTAGCCACCTCCCTCTGCCACCTCGGCTGGTCCGTGCCACGAGCAGGCGCGTCGGCTGGGTACAAGCACCGTGGACCCCAAAACAAGGGTCCAAACCACCGTGCAGTCAGGATGGGGAAACTGAGGCAGGGGGTTGGCATGAGCAGAGAGCAGAAAAGCTCTACCCAGCAGGACTGTGCAGGATCGAGCCAGCTTTTGAGTTGGGGTCCTGTGTTCTGAAGACTGAATTCAGACTGCAGGGCAGGGGGGAGCGCAGCCAGCACAGCACGTGTGCTCGGGTGAGCTCTGGTGAGGAGGATTGTGATGGCACACGCTTGCAGCCTGGTGCACGCAGCGATCAGCTGCAGTTTTGCAGCATGCCTGGCTCGTTCATTCCTGTATTAGCCACAATGTTTTCTGTGACCTAGAAACTCCAGCTGGCACATGCAAACCGCTATGCTCCTTAATTTTATAATTAATCTAAGAATTCTAGGGAAAAGATGGAACTGGTTTAGACTCCCTCTACATTGGACTGACCATCAGAAAAAATAACCACTCTCATTCCTGCTCTGGAGCTGTATCAGGGTCCCGGGGCTTGGAGGGACTGAGGTCACCACCACTCTATCCACTGTCCACCCTGAGCTTGGTGAACGGCTCAGGCTGCCGAATGCATACTTAGGCTTGTCTTGTTTCAGGTCTGGTCTAACCCAAAGGTCGTATTTATAATTAGTACATGCTGATGAAATGGTTCTGGCCTGTCAAACAGAAACACCCCACTGTAAACAGGAGTTTAGACTTGTTTGCATCTCTGTGGTTGTTCTGAGCAATTAGTCCGTGGAGGATTCTGGAGGAATTTGGGCGCTCTCTTTAAAACTTAGAAACTGATTTTATCTTTGAGAGAAATGCTGCCTGAAACAGGGGCTAATGCTGGAACAAACACCCCTCTCCTTCTATCCAAATCCTTCCTGAATTTGGATGCAGACTGGGTACCACGGTGTGTTCAGCATGCGAGAGCAGAGGCATGAGGCGGTGGGGAGCAGCGGGGGGGGGCGGGCACTTCCTGGGTGTCACGGTGCCGTTTAATGCTAAAAGCCCCCCAAAACACTGTCCCTGGGCTGCCTGGGGCTCCACGGGGCCATGGGTGGCTGATGGTGCCCGGGGGACACTGCAGGGACCAACATGCAGCTTGGACCCCGACCCCACCAGCCGCCGGCCAGACCCCGCTGGCTGCACCCTGATCTCTGCGTCTCTGAGATACGTGAATCAGACCCCTCAGAGTGTCTTTAAAGAACTTGAGCTGCCTGTGTATCCTGCCCAAACAGGCCCTAATTTCAGAGGTGAGTCCTGGGCAGGAGGAACAATAAACTTTTGGGTTTGGAGATCTAAATCAAACGCTTATTTTCCCACCCCCTCTAAATTAAATTTTACGTCCCCACCTTTGCTTTGGGCTCTCGGGTCTGGCTTGGGAAATGTGTGAATTTATTTTAATTCTGCTCTGAAAATGTAACTGCTGGGAACTCCAGCAGGAGGGTCAGATGGTGCCTTTCCTGGCCGTGTTTGCTTTCTGGCATCCAGCTGACAGCTCCAGCCAGCACCGAGCGAGCCCAGGAGGCTGCGAGTTCCCGCTGGCCCCAGCTGGGCTGTTTGTTCTCTGCCGGGCGCCGAGCCGGGGAGAAAAGCAGCATTTTCCTCTCTGTTTTAAATTTCTCAGCTCTGCCTGACTTTTCGTCTTTGCTGAGAAGCAGCAGAGTCACAAGAAGGAGCAAGAGGGAGGTAAGGCCCTATTTCCCAGCTGCCTGGGCTGACTCAGTTTGCCTCCAGTGCTGGTTAATGTTTTTTTTTGCAGCGGGGGCCGAAGGGACGGCCGTGCGCGGAAGAGGAGGAGGAGAGCATCGGAGGAAGGCAGGGGCCCCACGGCCATCGCGGCCAGGACAGCCAGCCCGCAGTGAGCCTCGGCGGCGAGCGGAGCCCAGCGAGTGGAACCCGGCGAGCGGCGGCTGCGGGCGGTGGGAACCTGCCGTGGGCTGTCCGGGGAAGCGCTTCGGGGTCGCAGGATTTCCCGAGCGGGAGCGCGCAGCTTTGCTGGGCTGCGGGGGGACGGCGGGTGCTTTGGAGGCCGCGTGGCAGCAAGCGGTGGCGGGGGTTTTTCGGTGGGGTGAGATGTGGGGGCAGCCCCTGGCCACAGCCTGTGGCTTGCATGGGAAGGGGCTAGCGCGGGCCTGCGAGACCCCACAAGCACCTTTGGGGGCTTGTGCACCCAAAATCCTGCACCCAGAGCAAACTCCAAGCTATGGCCCCGGGCAGGAGCCCCGTGCACAGGGGCTGGGGTGTCTGCTGGCAGGATCTGTCCCCGTCCCCCTCGAGCAGCCGTGCAACCCCCTCTTGATAGGGAGCAAAGCTTGCACCTCCATTGTGGCCAAACCGCCTCAATACGAGGGAGGGGAAAAAATAATTATTTCTGCAGGCGTGAGCAAGCCCCTGCGTTGCCATGCCCTCTGCATTTCCAAGTCCCTTTTTTAAGCGGGGCCCCTCTGAAGGGTGTTTGGGAGCCACACTCATGGGCAACTGGGATCCCATTTCCCTGCTGGAAAAGGGTCCCACAGCCCACTCAGGGACGTGCCCAGGGCTCGCTCCTGCTGTTCAGCCCCTCGCACAGCACCCAGAGATGCTGCTACCACTGAAATGATGGCGAGCAGCTGGGCTGGTGGGGGTCCCCCCTCCCCGTGCCAGCGAGGTGTTTTGGGGATTTGCAGGTGGAGATGTCTTACGTGAGCTGCTTCTTGCGAGCGGCCACCCGATGCCACCTGCCACCCCCTTGGAGAAGCCCCCGGCCCTTCAGCAGCGTGACGGGCCCCACGGCGAAGAAGAGCGTCCCGTACCAGAAGACACTGAAGGAGGAAGGCTCCGGGAGCAGGGAGCCCAGCCAGCCCCTGCCACCCTCAGCCGAGGTGGTGGTGGTTGGAGGGGGAAGCCTGGGCTGCCAGACCACCTACCACCTGGCCAAGCAGGGCGTCACCAGCGTCGTGCTGCTGGAGAGGGACCGCCTGACCTCGGGCACCACTTGGCACACGGCCGGTGAGGCGGTGGGCACAGCGCCGGTGCTCCCCGGGGTGGGAGAGGTGGGCACGGGAACGCCCACGGTTGGGGATGTGCTGGTGTCCGTGGGGTGGATCCATTGCATAGGCTGTCTCCAGAGGTGGTGGAGAGTTTTGGCTTTCAATGTGGAGAATTTCAGGGTTTCTGTTTTTCCTTTTGGCATAACTTTTGTTATGAAAACATCCCCCGAATTTTCTTTTTTTAATAAGTTTTAAGTGGCCAGAGGAAAATGTTAATTTCCACACTTTTTTTTTTTTTTTTTCCTTCTTTAAGCCAGTTTTCTTTGGGAGGGAATGGAGAGCTTGAAGAGGTTATTTCAATAAGCTTTTTTGGATATTGTCTCTTCTGGGGTAGTCTGCTCTGGAAACCCTTTTTTCCCATTCATTTAATACTGAAGGAAAATAGAAATCGATGATTTGTAGCACTCGCAGGTCGCCACGAGATGGAGCAAGAGCCCCCACAGGGTGACACGCGTGGGACTGTGGGGCCCCCTCTGCATCCCACTTCGGGTGATGGAGGAGTGGCGGAGCCCCCTGTCCCACCTGTGGGCTCTGTGTGTGTGTGTGTGTCCCCTCACCCAGGTCTGCTGTGGCAGCTGCGTCCCAGCGACGTGGAGGTGGAGCTGCTGGCGCACACGCGGGACGTGGTCAGCCGGGAGCTGCCGGCGGAGACGGGGCTGCACACGGGCTGGGTGGAGAATGGGGGGCTCTTCATCGCCTCCAACAAGCAGCGCCTCGATGAGTACAAGAGGCTCATGTCGGTAGGGAGAAGCCCCTCGCTGTGTCCCCTGGCCGGGTGGGCTGCAGGAGGTGGTGTTTAACCTCCTCTCCACCAGAGCAGCGCTGGGGGTCATAAAGTCATCAAATGGTTTGGGTTGGAAGGGATTGTGGAAGGGTTGGAATGGACCTTCCAACCTTGGAAGGTCCTTGAAGGAACCTAGTTCCAACCCCACTGCCCGAGGCAGGGACACCTTCCACTAGACCAGGTTGCTCAAAGCCTCGTCCAGCCTGGCCTTGAACCCTGCCAGGTTCCCAGGGCTGCAGAGCCCCCGGGTCTCCGAACGGCCGGTCCCTCCCTGTCGTCCTACCCCAAGAGCCGCAATGGCCTGGGTTATGTTTCCAGAGCAGCCTTCTGGCTTCCGTAAGGCTGCTGAAGTCAGGCTAAGTGCTGGCAAAGTAGGCCAAGTAAAATCCAGCCATGGTTTTTTGCCCTTTCAGATAGTGGTAGCATCATTTTTCCAGTTGTAGAAGAGTGGCAGCATTATTTTTCCAGCTGCACAGGCAGGTTGCATGCAAATATGGCACCATATTCCCTGAAATCTGTGCAGAGCATCCCACCCTGTGCTGGATTTAGGCCTTGCACTGGGGCAGCAGTTGTCTTATGTGGGAGATAGACATGTCCTGGGGGTCTCCTCCTCCTCCAGCAGCAAGTGATGAACAAAGCTTTTGTTGCCTGCTTGAGTTCCTGGTTTTTCTGTCCCACTGGCAGCTGGGGAAGGTGTACGGTGTGGAGTCCTACGTCCTGACCCCGGCACAGACCAAGGACCTGTACCCGCTGATGAACATCGACGACCTGTACGGCACGCTGTACGTCCCCAAGGACGGCACCATGGACCCAGCTGGTACCTGCTCAACGCTTGCCAGAGCAGCAACTGCCAGAGGCGCTACGGTAGTTCTAATTAGGAGTTACTAATTAGTGCCTGTTGACTCTGGGAGGAGATTTCATCCTCTGCCTTCCCCAGCATCTTCTTTCCCATCGGAGCAGAGTTGGTCCTGCAGCGTTAGGTCCAAGAAGGGTGTTGTGCTGTTCAGCTTTGACACCTGCTTGGGTCACAGCAACAAAAGCTGGCAGGAACCATGAGGCTTGGGGAAAATATAGGATGAAAAAAAGGTCTTTAGGAGCAAGATGAGGCAGTGCCCAAGACAGGTTTTTCAGGAGAGCAGAGGTTTTAGGGTCAGGTAACACAGTCTGTCCCTCAAGACAGCGACTACCAGCCCATCCTTGGTGAGCTGTTCTGCTCGTGTGCGTGTAAATAATAAATATCCTCTGCAACTGCGGGTGCCCAGAGCAGTGGTGTAAGTCTGCAGCTGGGAAGGGGCTGTGTTGTTATCAGCACTAACAGTAACAGCTGTTGGGGAGGGGGAGATGGCCCGTGCCAGACCACTGCTTAAACTCACCTTGCCCAGATTTGGGGGTAGATGTCAGGCAAGCTGGGTCATCCCCCTGCCCGTGCGACCCTGCCGTGACTCTGCTGCCCTTCCTCTGCCACCAGATCATCGAGAACTGCCCAGTCACCGGCATCCAGGTCAGAGCTGACGATTTTGGGGTGAAGAGGGTGTATGCAGTGGAGACGGCTCACGGGACCATCCAGACTCCCTGCGTGGTGAACTGCGCGGGTACGGGGCGCAAAGGATGGCGGGGAAGGGGGGGACTGGGCCTGTGGCTGTGGGGCAGGGGGTGGCTTTGCATCAGTCCTTGTGCCCCCTGTCTGGCTGTCACCCCCAGAGCATGGAGGATGGAGGGGTGCTCAGCATGGGGCTGCTCTCTCCTCAGGTGTGTGGGCTCGAGCCCTGGGCCAGCTGGCTGGCGTGCACGTGCCGCTGGTGGCCATGCATCATGCCTACGTGGTGACCGAGCGCATCGAGGGCATTCAGGTCAGTCCCGCACGGCTGCAGATCGGCTCCTCAGCCCTGGAAGGCAGCGCTGGTTTCTGCCCTCCTGCACGCAGAAGGGGGAGGTGGGAAAGCCCCTCCGGGACCCCCAGACCTGCAGGACCCCCCCGCCCCCCAACATTCCTGCCTTCAGCACAAGCTTGCGCTGCCAGGTCTGGCTCTGCACCCAGGGAATTGCACATCCACCAGCTTCTCCCCCTAGCAGGACTATCAGACTACCTTTGATAGAATCATATTTAATATTTAATGATGTTATGACTAGCAGGATAATTTTCTTCTTTTTTTTTTTTTCATCTTGGTAGAATTATTATAGGGTCTGCGATGTGTTTGGTGTCTGATAGCAGCATTAATAAAGATGCCAAACACTTTCTGAACAAGCCCCAATCCCCAACAGGCAGAGGTGTAGCTCTCCAAGCGTTTCTAAACTCTCCCAAGAAATCTGTTCCTGCCATCTGGCTGTGGAGAATTGTTCAGGAGTCGAAGACTTCATTCACTCAGGTGCCAGGGCTTTGAGGGTGACACATTATTTAGTTTCCATCCCGCTGACAGCCTCTGACTCTTCAGTCCGAGGTGCCTCATTTTAGAAAGTGCTGGTGTCCATGATTACATGTATATCCTGGTAACTCCGCTGTGCTGTACAAACACGGGGAGGAGACTTTTCAGAGAAGAGCCTGTAGCTTGCAGACCCTGGTGCCTCCTGTTCAGTGCACTTAATTCCATTTGTCGACATGAAATGCGGTGGGCCCTACACCAATGCTTCCATGCTATCTACATGTTTCTCTATCCATTATTCACGAGAACAAATCCCTCATTCTTTGCGCACTGCTGCCCGCGTGTCGTGCTGTTGCCTCCTCCTGCAGAGGTGGGTGGCAGAGGAGTGATGCTTTCCAAGCTGGGATCAACCGCAGCGCCTGCTCCTGCTCCTCCTGAGCATCCCCGGCGCTGCCTGGGCCATGGAGGAGCCGCCGGAGAGGCGAGGATTGCCGGTCTGCCAGCTGCTAAATTAGGCAGGGTTTGTGCAAGACTTGGCTTCCAGCTTGGGTGCCTGGTGAACGGGCACGCTGCCCGCAGCATCGCTGCCTGCACAAGCCGCTTTGCCCGTGGTTTGGGCAGGTTTGCTGGAGCTGACCTGGGGGCCTTCCTCTTGGGGTACGCAGGCACCCAAAGTTCAGGGCTGTGGGAACATCCACGGAGCCACTGCTGCTCCCATCCTTGGTGGGTCACCTCAGACCCCCAGTTCATCCCACTGAGCCTTGCTGGGGTGGTGTCAGGGTCTCCCCGTGGCTCCTGGCCCCCTCTCACCCCTCCGCTCCCCCTCCCCATTTTTCAGAACATGCCGAACGTTCGCGATCACGACGCCTCGGTGTATCTCCGTCTCCAAGGCGATGCCCTTTCCGTGGGTGGATATGAGTCAAACCCCATCTTCTGGGAGGAGGTGAGCCGTGCCGGGAGGTTTTCTGGGAGAACGAGGCAGTTTTCCAGGGAACCCAGCTCGGAGTGGGGGGGGCACAGATGTGAGCGCCTCAGCCCCTAGCTCCTGCGGGTACCAAGGCACAGGAAAGCATCTTCCCTTTGGGTCTGTCTGTGGCATAGAAACGAGATGTAGAGACAACAGAAATGAAATGAAAAGGCTGGGCTGGGGGGATTTAGAGGCCACCCCACAGTCCCTGCCCTGCAGCATCATCCCTTTATCCAGGTGCAGGGCTTTTAATTGAGGCTCTGCCCCAGAACTTTGGATTGTCTGGGCTGGTCATGAAAACCCAAAGAAACTACAAAATAGCCTCTACTTCCTACAGCCTCCTACGCTGTCAGAGCTGAGAAATTCTTAAGCCTTCAGCTATACTTTTATTTTGTGTCCCAATTCCTGTTTCCTACCTTCAGGTATCTGAAAAATTTGCTTTTGGTCTCTTTGATCTGGACTGGGATGTTTTCACGCAACACATCGAAGGTGCCATCAACAGAGTACCGGTGCTGGAGAAAACAGGCATTAAATCCACTGTTTGTGGACCAGGTAATGTGACTGCAGTGGTACGGTGGTGGCTGGATTCCTCCAAGAATCTTGCTGGAGGGAGACAAGGGGCAACTTCATGTCCTGGGGAGAAGAAAAAACTGAACGCAGAGAAAGGAGCTGTGATGTGGCTGCAGTGGTGTTGTCTTCCGAGGGGTGGCATCCCAGGCTTAGCCTAGGCGGAGAAATAGCTGGGGAGTTTATTGCCTTGGTCCAAACTGGGGATGGATTGTACAGATTTACAGCCCAGGTTGTAGCCACCAGACTGGGAATTAAGGGGCAGATTTTTTTCAAGCAGTGGCCATTGTTTTACCAAGTGTTCTGTTTTTACTACTTGCTTCTGGGCCGGTGGCTGTAGATTTACATCCCAGGCTGCCTAGTGTGGAGTTAAAGGCCATAGCATCCCAGTGGTGGCAGCTGGAGGTGATGCCACCCATCAAACCTGAGCCCTGCACACTTGGTTTGGCCTTGAAATCCACGCCCTGCTAAAAAAAAAAATTTAAAAAATTAAAAAAAATTTTTAAAATCCCTTTTTGCTGAAGCACTTAAAGGGAAACCATCGAGGCCCTTGGGGAGGGAGCAGTGCTGCTGTACAAGGGGAAAGTAGGGCAGAGCAGATAAAACATGACATGTACAAGGTGGAGGCCTTGGCCTGGGTACAGCAGGTTTGATTAAACTGCAGTTTAAGCAGAGCTGGTGGCCTCCGCTGGGGAGCTGGCTTCTTATAGATACATGCTCTGTATTTGTAGTAGAGCAATGTAATTTCCAAAGGGTCAGCACTCCTCCTTTTCTATTTCTTGATTTAAACCATCAGCTGGTTTGCTTGCGACAGCTGAGTGTCTCTGGGCTGAAGCAAATAGCAAACGCTTGTCCCTTCTGCTGCATGGTAAATATTTCACCACCAGAACAGCTACTGTGCTGGTTTTCAGGCACAGGGGATGAAAACAGAGTGAATTGGGGTGGTTTAAGCTGTTTCTGCCCTGGCTGCTGATCCAACCCTGCAGGGGAGTGGGTCAAGGTTCAGCATCCATCCCAGTGCAAAGTCAGCAGGGCTGATGTGCTTTGGGTGTTGCTCCATTAAGTCCATGAACTTGTAGCCTGGCGTATTGGCATGGGGATATTGGCATGAAATAATCTTCTGACTCTCTCCCCTTCTCCTGAGCACAGAGATCTTGGGGAAACAAGCCGGGCACTGCTGGGCGGGGGAAGGACCAGACTGAACTCTGTGTTCTCTCTCTCACACGGATGGGTGAACCATAAAACGGGGAGGAGGATTGCACAGCTCTGCCAGGGTGTCCTGCTCTGTTCTCCCTAGTGGGGATTTGCACAGACTGGTTAACAGCCCTGTGGGGAGCAGGAGCTGGCAGCATGAGGCATCGTTAGCACAGGAGCCTTGGGCGACATCAGCAGCAATTCCTCCGCTGCATAAAGTAGCTTAAATTCATGAAATTTCCCAGCAGAAATCGAGGAAGGTGAAACATAGTCATCATAATGAAATATGGCCCAGATGTTGAAGAGGCGACAAGCAGGTCGGTGCAGCCCCCATGACTGGGGGATCAGGCTGAAGCAAGAGCCTGCTTCAGCCACCGCAGCACCTCGGGTACCTCCTGGCTGGAGATTCATTCTGCTTCACAAATTTTCAGTCTAAACCCTCCCGTTGCAGTGCTGGCGTGCAGCCTGTGCTGCCGAGCTCCCTGGGGGTGCAGAGGGCACAGTTAACCTGAGACGGGGGTCTCGACGGTGCCAGGGACGGACTGTGCATCGCTCAGGGCTGCAAAGGAACTGCCTCGTGCCACCAGCACCTGCCCCTGCCACCAGCAGTGTGGTGTGCATCTCTGTGTGTGTGTGCGTATCTGTACTCATGCAAGCTTCTGAAGTGAACATATGTATATATATGTATGTATATTTGCTTTGGGAGCCTGCACAAGACCCCAGTGTGATGCTGGGCATCCCAGTACCAGGGCAGCCATTCCCTGTGGCCTCTGCTGCCTGGATGCTGTTGGAGAGGTGCAGGTCAAGGATGCCCAAGGTGAAATGTTGGGAAGTGTTTGGTGTTAGTCCAACTCTGGCCCCATCGACTTCTCTGGGAGCAGGAGCAGGCTGAGGCTGACACGGGAAGCTGTAGGACCCTTGCTCCTAAAGTGCATGATGTGTCCCCAAAACGCCTGTCCTGACCTTGCTGGCACACACTCTCTCTGTCTTGCAGAGTCATTCACAGCCGACCACAAGCCACTCATGGGGGAAGCCCCAGAAGTCCGAGGTTTCTTCCTTGGCTGTGGCTTCAACAGTGCTGGTAAGAGAGACCTGAAGGGATCACACCTCGGGCGTCGCGTCCTGGGCAGAGCCCGGCACCCGCAGCCGTGCTTGGCCCCCTGGCCTCGTCCGGGTCCTCACCTCTTCCTCCAGGGATGATGCTGGGAGGCGGCTGCGGGAGGGAGCTGGCTCACTGGATCATCCACGGGCGGCCAGAGAAGGACATGTACGGCTATGACATCAGGCAGGTGACCCCGGCTGCCCCAGCTCCCCGCGGGCTGTGGGCTCCTGCGCCGATAGCCCTTGGCCTTGGGTGGTACCTGGGGATGGGTTTCGAGACAGGGCTGGATGCTGGCACTGGGAGCGGGTGTCCGGGCAGCATCTGTGCCACAGCCTGTGTCCCTCCAAGGAGCTAGAATCAATTACGCTCAATGGCTTTAATGAATTTACACGTGGGGTTTATCTTATTTTCCTCATTCTGCTTCTACGCAAACAGTTTCCATCAGACACGAGGAGACTGTGGTGATGGGAAAGGACAGGGTAATTACATTTCGGTTTTCTTGTTGTTCAATTAGTGCTGTGCCTAATCCTCTAAATTAATAATCGGGGGTGATGATTTCAACATGAGAAACATCAGCTTTCCTCCCGATCTGCAGCACAACATGGGCTGGGAGTTTTGACTGTGCAGATGTTGGCTCTGTAATTGCTTTTGACTTGCTCGATTATATTCGATTGGGTTTGGGCTTTCTTATAGGGCTGCTAACGACAGCAACCACCTTGTCAGGGACAAAGCTTTTAAAATCGTGTTGCTGTAGTGGCAAAGCTGGTAAACGCCCTCTTGACTCAGGCTGGGAGGAGAGGGGAGTCAGAGATGGTGCCTCCTGCAGCCAGGCCAGCGGTGGGCCAAGCCTGGGAAGGAGAAAGCCCCGGGCTGGGCGGGCACTGCTGCCCAGCTGGACACGGGGGGGTTGGCACAGCCACAGCCATCGTGGGGCTGACCCGTGCCGTGGGACCCCTGCCCTGCTCAGACAGTGGCCAGGGGCTTTCCAGCCCTTGCATCCGTCTTACCTGAGCATCCCCTGTATCCTGTCTGCCCTGTCATCAAACTGGTGCCAGTCCCTTTTTTTTTTTTTTTTTTTCCCTTTTGGTGGTGATTACTCTTTAAATAACTCCATTTTCTTCACATTTAAATACTTATCCTCTCCAAACACTCTCTTGTAAATATTTCATCTGGCAGCTGTTGCTCCTCTTCACTGCTGTCAAAAATCCAGCATGTCAGTGAAGGGGCTGTGGCTGACGGGGCAGACGGATGCTGGTGACATGCCATGTGTCACCTGCTGCCTGTCCCGTGCTGGCAGAAGAGGCAGCTGCCCTCACAGCCAGCCCACGGCTGCTTTTGGGGAGCATTGTTTGCATTGCTTGCAGGGCTTGGCCCCAGTGCCCTGCCTCTCCCTGGCACCCAGGCAGCAGGGAGGGAAGCTGAAAGTATTGTTTTAAAATGTCCTATAAATGACACTTTGTCTTGCCTTTCCCCTGCTGTCTCCCTTTCTCCAGTCCTGGGAAAGGTGTCACTGGCACCCAGGGATGCTGTCCCTGAGTTATAGTCTCTGGTAATAACAACCCAAGCATGTGCTGAACGGGCACATTCTTACAAGGAGATTTTCTGTTTAAAGGTTGAAAATATGTCAAATAAATTTAAAATGCTTCGGGTTTTATTCATATTTCAGCCTAGGGAGAATTGGATGAAAAATGTAAGGAATGTCCAGGGCTCTTTCCCTCCTCAGGGCTCGGTCTAAACCTGGGCTGTGTGCAGGGCAGGCTCTGAGACCAGCCCCATGCTGAAGCAGTGCAGAATTAATCTCAATTCTCCTCTTTTTTTTTTTATTTATTTCCCACTCATCAGGGCTGTATTCTGCTCCCAGTTGCTCTGGGGTAGATGTGCCTGGAGCAGGGCTGGGGAGCTCAGGGCGGGCTGCGGCGAGCCCCCAGCACTGATGGGCAGTGATGCAGCTTGGCCCGCATCAGGCCCTGCTTGGTTCCTCTGCTCTCCAACCCATGAAATGGGTGCAGGAATAGCAATTTTACACCACAACAGCTGCATCCACATCTGGGTCTGGCCAAGAGACCCATGCCTAAGGGGAAGAGGCAGGCCATGAGCTGGTGGGCTCATCCGGACGCTGCCCTCTCCCTGCCTTCCAGGAGGTTTCACCACTCCCTCACTGACAACAACCGCTGGATCCGGGAGCGGAGCCACGAGTCCTACGCCAAGAACTACTCCGTCGTCTTCCCCCATGACGAGCCACTGGCGGGGCGCAATGTGAGGAAGGACCCCCTGCACGAGGTGAGGATGCGCACCCCGACCCGGGCTGCCGTGCAAGAAGCTATGGGAGACCCTTGCAGCATCCTTGCAGCAAAAGAGAGGTGGCAAGGAGTGGCTGCAGGCATATCACTCCCCAAAGCAGCGTGCTGCATCCGTGCTCCCATCCATCCATCCTGGGAGAATCCCTGCTGAATCCCAAAGCTTGCCGGGTGCACACAGTGAGGCTGCTGGGGGCATGGACAGTTTAATGGCAGAGGTGCCAAGCATTCCCATAATATTTAACTTAGCAGATATGGCTTAAGAGCCTGGTGATGGTTGCTGGCCAAGGCAAAGTGGAGAGGGGAGCTCAGAGGCTTCTTTCATTCACTGTCAGTCCAACTCGGGGGCAGTTGCGAGGGCTGTGGGATGCTGGATGCCCGTGGCGATCTCCTACCCACATCTCACCATGCCTCACTTGCAGCTCAGCAGCAGCTTTCCCTCCCCAAAACAGTGTCTCCCAATGCAGAACGAGGCTGGGGTGTGGGAAGAGTGGGGAGCAGCTGTGCCTCTGTGGAGTGTTTTGCCAGCACCCCCTAATTCCCCACGTGTTTTGCTCCCTGGAGCTGCCAGCTGGGGCTCCTCCCTGCTCCCACCTTCGCCAGCTGTTTCCTTGCACAAATCTCCGTATGTAAATGCTTTCAGGATGCAGCACTTGAGGAAAAGAAAACAGTTTCCAGTGGTTCGCTGCATCAGCAGCATTGCAGCAACTGCGGCTCAGAGCCCCCCAAATCACCCACCGCTCTCGAGATTCTGGGGGTGACCTGGGGCCGGTGCCTCGTTCCTCCCCATCACCATCAGCCCCAGTCCCAGCAAGGAGCAGCCACATTTCTCAAGCCCATTTCTGCTCGTTGCTAGGTCATATCACACCATTCCTCTTCTGATGGAGAGCAGAGCAGCAAGACAGACATCTCTCCCCACTGTCCCCCAGTGTTGGGTTGACATCTCAGTTGTTTTCTGTCACCGAGGATGCAGTTTAGTTTTTAATAGCGTGTCTAATAAGTGATGCCCATTTGACTGACAGCCTGGTATTTATACATGCAGCTCCAGAACATGTGCTGTGTTTTATAAATAGGCACTGAATCATTTCTGAAATGTTCAACAAAATCTATTCTTTTCCGAACAGAGGCACCAAACAAAAATATCTTAATGGATCCCTAATTAATTGCGTGCAGAGAGATTTTCCCGAGAGCACAGAGGAGGAATGAGCAGGTTGCCGTATAAATCTTAAATGTTATTATATAATTACTGTTGTAAACATCGGGGGGAATCTTGCTCTCTGGATTTAGCATTTCTCGGTCAGTAATTCGTGCACCGTAGCGCAGGCTTTGGTGGGGTGCACAGCTGGGCTTTCAGACTCCTGCCCATCGGCTGCTGCTGAGGCAAATACCTTTCTCGGGGGGGACAAAAATATCAGGCAATTTGCAGGCAGCTGGGGTTTGCCACTGTTTTAAAAGACAAACTGCCGAGCTGATTTTGGCTGCTGATAGCCAAGGGGCCACAAGTCAGGTCTTGAGCATGTACTCGAGGAGGGCAGCCTGGGCGCTGCTCAAAAAACAGTGAAAAGGGGCTTTTTTTTTTTTTTTAACTATTTGTTCCCATTTCTCTGGCTTTGCTTGTGTAGGAGCTGCTGCGCCAGGGCTGTGTTTTCCAGGAGCGGCATGGCTGGGAGAGGCCGGGCTGGTTCAGCCCTGGGGGGGCAGCCCCGGTAAGCACAGCACACGTTTCAGGGGGGTGTTCAGCCCGGAGCACAGCGGCTGTGCCCGGCGAGCGTAGGATGAATCCTGCGTGCGCAGGGTGTGCGACATGCTGCAGGCAGTTGCGTGTCCCCAAAACCGGTCCATAAAAGCTGTTGGGCTTTAATTCAGCGGTAAGGGGGAGATCTGTGTGTGCATGTGGTGTGAGTCTGTCTGCCCGTCCCTCTGCAACAGGCAGTGTCTGCCTGCAACGCCCCCAGATGAGAGGCACCCATCTCATTTCTATATATTGAAGAGCAACAGGCAGGGATGCCGGGGAGGGGACACATCACCATGGGCAGGGATGCCGGGGAGGGGACATATCACTTCGGGTAGGGATGCCAGGGAGGGGACACATCACTGCGGGTAGGGATGCCAGGGAGGGGACACACTGCGGGCAGGGATGCCAGGGAGGGGACACATCACTGCGGGCAGGGATGCCAGGGAGGGGACACATCACCATAGGCAGGGATGCCAGGGAGGGGACACATCACTGCAGGCAGGGATGCTGGAGAGGGAACACATCATCACAGCCAGGTCCTGCTCAGACCCTCTCCTCTCCTGACATGGGGTGAATGGGACGGGGAGTAGCCCTTTGGCTTCAGCCTCATGCTGTCTTCCTCACTGACCCCATCCTCCTCCGTCCCCCCCAGGTCCTGGATTACGACTACTACGGTGCGTACGGCCGTGAGCGCCACAGGGACTACACCTACAACCAGCTGCTGGGGAGCGAGTACACCTTTGACTTCCCCCCCCACCATGACATTGTGAGTGTGGGGAGCAGCCCGCCCTGGCCAAAACCCCTGGGCACATCTGGAGGTGGGAGGGTTAGAGACAGCAGAGCCCGTGCCACAGCACCACTTTGGGTGGATTTGGTGAGGCTCAGAGGGAGGGGAAGCAGCGAGCTTTGCCCAAAACTGGGAAAAAACGTTCCAAAAAGATTAAGAGAAATGTGTGGCCGGTGCTCAGAAACCTCAGCAGAGAGGCCACGGGAATTTTACTGCTGCTTTCCTAAATGAAAGAGTTGAGACTAGCTTGGGGGAAGAACCCAATTTGATAAAATTTAACTATTATTGATGACTGTCACTGTGTTAGTGAGGTAAGGAATGGGACTGAGCACACAGGGAGGCCTGTCAGGCTTGCTTCATTTAATACCTGATTTTTCAGGGGTGTTTTTGAAGCCTTTAAAGGCACCAGGCGAGTGTCCTGGTATTGTTTCCCATTACATAAACAGTTTTCATGTGTTCCTGCCTTTGTGGAGTGAGAATATGGCTCAGCATCAGCTGTTGTGTTTGCTTTAATTGCAGATCAAGAGTGAATGCTTAACGTGCAGGAATGCCCTGGCTCTCTTCGACATGTCTTATTTTGGGAAATTCTACCTGGTTGGGCCTGAAGCAACAAAAGCAGCAAACTGGCTGTTTACTGCCGATGTGAGCAAAGCACCAGGTAGGGGCTCAGCCCCCTTATTTTTGGCTGCACGCTGCCTCTGCTGAGCACTGCCCTGGGAAATCACATCTTATACCAAAATGAACCAGGAGGGAACCCAAACTGCTTTTCTTTTAAATGCTGCTTTTGCAGGGGGTATTGGGAGTGTGTGAGAGCTCCCTTGTCCTCACCCGAGGCTGGCTTCTGCTCTCATTCGCACTGGGACAAACATGCTCTGAGCTGGGGGGAGAGAGGGGGGTCTGTCCCTCTGGCTCCAGCTGTGGCTCACAGCTGGAGACGTGGTGGGTACGGGAGTAAATCAAGCACAACCCTTGCCAGCTGCCGTTTGCGCAGGGAGAAGCTGTCTCCTTCTCTGGGGCTGGGAGAAAGCTTATGGCATTTCTGAGGATGCAGCTTCAGCTCCTCGCACAGATCTCAAGGGGGAAAAGCATCGCTCCCCTGCTCCTCCTGGTGCTGGGACATCCAGCGTCGGTCAGGACGTACCCAGGCAGTGGCAACTGATGTCACGATGAGGACAGATTTTCCTGCTACCCACCTGCCAGGTCTGGGGCTGTGTGCCAGGGCTGGCTGATGGGCATCGGTGCCCGACTCCTTCCCTCAGGCTCGACCGTGTACACCTGCATGCTGAACAAGCGGGGCGGCGTGGAGAGCGACCTGACCGTCAGCCGGATCAGCCCCGGGGAGCCAGCCTCCCCCCTGGCCCCCGCCTTTGAAGGTAAAAGCCCTGAGCACAGGGATGCTGGAGTCAGGCACGCTTCTGCAGCCGCCGAGGGGCTGGGGGGATCGCTGGCTGGGTTTACCCTCCTGCAGTTCAGCTCCCAGCCTCTCCTGCTGCCTTTTTTTAGCTGTGGCAGTGCACACAAAGATCTTTCCAGTCCCAGAAAGCCGTGGCAGCAGGTTCAGTCTGAGGCCTGCCAGCATCTCCATCCCCACCTTGCTCGAGGGGCCACAGGCATGGGGGTGATTGCATTTACTTAATGGCAGCCACCTGGCTTTTTCCACCTCCCTCCCTCTGTCCCTGTAACCCAATTATCCCCCTTGTCCCCGGGGCCCTGCACTGCTCATCAGCATTATTGGGTTTGTCCAGCCCCGGCTGGCGGCTCTGACCTCTCCCCAGGTCCTTATCAGCTGCATTAAAGAGGAATTGAAAGGGAGCAGAGCAGTCAGCCCAGAGGGCAGAAATGGCATTAGGAGAGTGACACCGAGCTGGTCTCCGAGTGCCGGCGCTGCCACCAGACGGGAGGTTTGCACTCGGGTGGCCTGTGCCCCCGGAGCCCCGTCCCCACGCAGCGTCACCCTCGGAGCTGGTGCTGGGAAGGGACCCAGCGGGCGCAGCCCCCAGCGCCAGCCCGGGTGGGGGTTGTGGGGGCCAGCTCGGCCCCTTCGCCCCGGCGTGGTTGGGTGCCACTGAGCTCTTCCCTCCCCGTGGCACAATCCCAGATCCCTCTCGTCTGGGGGGCTCACGGGAGGCAGAAGGGCAATGGCATGTGGCTGGCAGAGCTGCAGGGTTTGTCGGGCGATGGAGGAGTTTAATCGCAGCAAAGTCTATTTTTCCAATTACAGTAGGTGGCTTCACTTATTATCGTTATGACAGATTATCAGAGAGCAATTTTGTAGTGGCAGGAAAGACAGAGGGAAGATTGATTACATATTAATCAGCTATCAAACTCCATCCCTGGGGATTTTTCCCCCCAGGATTACTGACGAGATGAAATTCCTCCTGGTATACAGAGCAGCCCCTGCACTGGCTATGGCCCAGTCGCTGCAGCCCTCCCTGCTCCCACCTGTAGTTCCCAGCTCCCTCTCACCTTGGCATCCACTCTGTACTGGGAGATGCTTTTGCTGTTGGTCTCAAGGGACAAAGAGGTTTTTTTTCTCTTCCTGTGATGCTCACGCATGCACAGGTACCTCCAGGCCTCAAACAGCTTTTTTTACCTTTTCTTCTTTCAGGTTTTAATGGTCACTTGGTTTTCATTGTGCTGAGCCCCACAAAAGGCAGTGTGGATGTTAGCAGAGCCCCAACGCCCTCCCTTGCCCCAGCACTATTTAACCCCACCGCCTTTCTTGGTGGTCCCCCCCATGGGCTGTGAAAGCTGAAGAGGCTCCAGGCAGCAGCTCAGCCTCTGGAGAGCAAAACCAGCCCTGAGCTGAGCTGGGCATGGCCCCCAGCCTGACGTTCTCGAGCCTGAGAGGGTGCCGGGGGGTGTCTTCCAGGGGATGGCTACTACCTGGCTATCGGCGGGGCCGTGGCTCAGCACAACTGGTCGCACATCACCACCGTGCTGCAGGACATGAAGCTCCAGTGCAAACTCCTCGACTGCTCGGAGGAGCTGGGCATGATGAGCATCCAGGGCCCCCTGAGGTGAGTGTGGCGAGAGCATTGCAGCCCCCTCCTTGCACCCTGATGCCTGGCCCTTGGAGAGGTGGAGGAAGGGATAACAGGGAGGGAGGAAGGGATGCCAGGTGCTGGGATCAGGATTGCTGCACGGCAGCAGGCAATGGTCTGCCTGGAGCGATGCTCCGTTTGCTGGGGAACTGGCGTTTCTTTCGAGGCTCTCACAATGTGGCATGTTACCCACATCAGCTCCCGTTTGGAGAGAGAAGTCTGTCTTGACAACAAGACAAGTTTTAGTGATAGTCCGAGCAGGCTGGCAAAGCTACGTCCTTTCACCGCGGCTGCTTTGCTGTTTCCCCACAGCCGCGTCGTCCTCCAAGAAGTGCTCGACACCGACCTCAGCAACGAAGCTTTCCCCTTCTCCACCCACAAACTCACCACGGTCGCAGGATGCACGGTAGGACAGGGCCAGCCCTCCAGCTCCCCAGGGAGGTTTGTTCACTGGGGCAACTGCCCACAGCCTGTGCAGCTGAGCGTCCCCTGCTAGGGATCCTGTCTGCCTCCACATTGCTGCAGTGGGCAGCTTTGTTGGGGTATTTTTGATGAAAAAGGCCAAAAAATAGGGTAGGAGAAGGGTGTTTTCCTCTTCAATGGTCTGCCAGGTCTCCCAGCCCACCCAGTGGTGGTGTAGCCTGGGCTGAGCTTGGGGAAGAGACATGGTGACTTATGGCTTTGCAGTGATGTCAGAGGAACAAGACGTGCCTCCGATGGATTAGGGGTGAGCGCTGATGATAAAGAGATTATCTGACATTCTAGACACTTTCCATTTCCCCCTACTCATTAAAAAAAATAGGGATGATTTGATGTAAAGCACGTCAAGTACCGGCGGTAAGGGCTGAGCAGCCTCTGGAGCCTCTGTATTTGATCACAGGAGAAGTCTGACAACCTTAAGCTTTCTGTACAAGTGCAGATCATCCTGCACTTGCCCAGACTTCAGGGCTCACATCAGCAGTTATGCAAGAAAAGCGCAGAAAAGGTAACGCTCCGTGCTAACACCTCGGGCTAAGCCCCTCGGTATCGGAGCGAGGGGATGAGAAGCCCTTTGGGGTGATGGTGGAAACCAGCACCGCTGCCCAGCTTGGGTGCCTTGCGGGGGGAGTCATGGGTGGGGGGTGCTGCCCAGCTCCTGCCCCCACCACGCGTTGCCTGGGGAGGGAGGCAGCGCCCGCGAGGTGTTTTGCAGACAGAAGTGAGCTGGCTTTGCCTGCGCTGCCTGCAGAGCACGGGGCAGGCATGTGCGTGCTGTCCTGAGTGTGAGAGCCCTCAGCAAGCCGTGGGAGATGCACCTTGCCCAAACTGCCAGCCCAGCACCTCTGCCAGGACCCGCAGCGATGGGTTTAACACGTTGTGTGGCATCGCTGGGAGGTGTTGAGGAAGGAAGGCTCAGCCTAAAAGCGGTTTGGTGTCGGCGGCGGTGCTGCAAAGAGGTGAATCAGTCCCCGGGGTTTGTGGTGAGGTCCCACAGCGCTGTCTGGTTGGACTCCTCTGTCTCGCCTGGTGCGAGGCAGCGAGAAAAGTGCCTTAAATCTCTTCCCCCGCCTTGCCCAGCGGAGATCAACATGGTCTGAAGTTATCCCTGGGGAAAGGGGGTGATGGCAGGTCTCTGGGGAGTTCTGTCATGTGTGAAGCTGCTGATTTAGCCTGCTTGAAACACCCTAAATAGAAGAGTTGGTGACCATGAAGTGTTGTTTTGTCAAAAGAGAAATGTTCTGGGAAAACCTGCTGCTGACAAGTTTTGGGGAAAAGCTTTTGCAAGGTTTGCAGGAGAAGCTCTGCCTCAGAAGCTTCTTACTGATGTTTACCCCATATTAAATATTCCTTCTGTTGCAAAAATGCCACTTTGGAAGAGAGGGTCGAGTTTGTACCCCCTCCTTCCCCTGGGAAATCTGGGCAGGCAGTGGTCCCAGGGCATCCCTCTCACATCCAGAGGAGCCAAGCGTTTGCTCTGGCTCTCAGCCCGGTGTCTGAAGGGAGACAAAATGGGTGAAGGTCCAGTGGTGAATCTTGTAAAAGGCAGCAGGAAAACAGGGAGCTGGAGACAGGCTGGCTACTGGTGCAATTGGGTTAAGCCGCGTGTGGCCACTTTTCATTCAGAATTAAAGTGGCTTTAATTCGAATGCAGCTGGCTGCTGAAGGGATTGCTGCTAAATCAAATTAAGGCTGCTTGATTTGTGCGCAGGAGCCTAGCCAGGATTTAGGGTGGTTTAACTAAGCCACAGATTTTGCCCAACTCGGATTAATCCTCCAAACCATCACCATCAGTGTTCCCTGTGCTCTGGGTGCCAAAACCCCATGGTTTGTCCAGTGTCCCTTTGGGGGGGGGGAGCACAGGGGCATGGGGGGCCCAAAATCCAATCCATTGTCACAGATTGTCCAACACGTTGCATTTTAGTCTCCACCAGTGAGTTATAACCCTCCCCACGCCCCCCCCCC